AATCAATCAATCAATCAATCAATCAATCAACCAACCAACCAACCAACCAATCAATCAATCAATCAATCAATCCTGTCTTGTTTAACGTGTCGGTCACTCACCTCCTTTAGTATGGTCTGTTGGCATCCTTAGGCCTCTTCAGCTGCACCTTCAGTCTCTTCATGCCGATCTGGAAGCCGTTCATGGCCTGGATGGCAGTCTGGGCGCTGGATGGGTTATCGAAGCTCACAAAACCTGGGGGGGGGGGGGGGGGGGAGAGACGTCTTAATAACAGGAGCCAAAATCCACAGACATCGACCATCATATTGTCGCTTTCTGAGATTCACCACAGTGGTGAAGCTCGGATTTTTCTGAGTAAGGGGACATTAAGGGGGTCGAGTAAAGCTTAAATACTCCTCATGAATTTTACATGCATTTTTACTGTACATGGATAAAATATCCTCAAAGCGTGTGAGAAAATGAAGTCATAAGCTGCGTTTCCATTGACCATGAAAATCTGCAAATTAGAATTTCGAAAATAAATTTGCTCAATGGAAACATGTCAATTTAAAAAAGATTTTTTTCGAAAAAATGGTTTTGCGCAAGGAAGAGGTGGTTTTTCAGCCGTATCGAAATTGATGTATTTCGCAAAACTGCAATGGAAACACTTTTTTCGCATCACGGGAGTCACGTGATCAACAACCAGCTGTTCCTACCGGCGAAAAAGACGACGAAGAAGAAGATAACAGGAAGTAAAAGTAGTAGTGAAATCACCAAAGTAGTAAAAGAAAATATTAAACCTACCGACTACATTTTCCCAAAAACGCAGCATACGTAGCCACTCCCAAGTATAAAAAGCTTGTCACTAGAAAGCCTCGATAAGACGCCGACATCTCCTCTGATGGCTGATAATGAGCGCTAGTGTCGTGGTAGCAATATGCTATGTGTTTACATCTGTTGCCGCCATGTTTGTAATGACTTATCGCGAGAACAAACCTATTCACAAGTGACTTTAATAGCGTTTCTTACTTAACGGAAACACTGCAAGTGGGAAACTGTGTTTTTTCGACATTAACAGAATATCGACAAAATTTTGCACACATTTGCAATGGAAACACAGCTATTGTCTGCCAGCTGAAAGATATTTTTTTGCAAAATTGTTCAAGTCTTTTAAAGACGAGAAGAAGACTTCTGTAAGACTGATTCATGCTGACTTTACAGTTTGACTCATTAACACCTCTAGTGTTTGGGCATGGAACTGCACCCACCATCATTGCTCTCAGGCAAAGGACAGATGAGTGACAGGACAGGGGCACTTCAGGGGGCCAATCAGATTTCCGCAGGGGCCAACGCCCCTGTGGCCCCGCCCCTAGAACCGCCCATGACTCACCAAAACATTTGCTCTGATTGGTTGCTCGGTCCACGAAGACCTTTGCGGAGATGACGTTTCCAAAGGGCAGGAACATCTGCAGGATCTCTGAGTCGGTGAACTCCTGCGGCAGGTGGTAGATGAAGATGTTACAGCCTTCAGGACCTGGAAGCAAAGACAAGACACGGGCTGTAAGATGGTTAAAGGGACAGTTCACATCTCTTGAACTGGGGTTTTGTGGAAAGGTTAGAAACAACAATAGGTCTTTGAACTACCTCAGTTTGAAGGTGCAATCTAAAAATGATCAGCTTTCCTACTTTTCTGTCACATTTTTTCTTTTTCAATGTGTTTTTAAAGATATTTAAACTTTAAGTAAAAAAAAACAACATGGCACAACAGAAGTTTATGTTTTTATCCATTTGAAATTCAATAAGTTGCAGAGCTGTAAAAATATATATATTTCCACATCATACAAGAATGAGAAAAACTCACCTGTTAGTCTGACCAAAAATATCACATTTTAATCAACCACACTGTTTGTAGAATAGTTCTCTTGTCTGAAATGTGATTTAAAATAATGTTTCCAAACATACAAAACCACTGGAATGTTTCTCAAAGATAAAATGGCCGCTACACTTGCCTTTTTTTTTTTAGTTTACCTTCTCGTTGCTGAAGCTGCTGCGGCTGCTGCGGCTGCTGAGCCACCAGGGTGGGCTGGTGGGGGAACGGCTGGCCCACTAGGCTGTAGGCTGCAGGGTAAGTAGCTGTAAGAAAGGAAAACCAGGTGAGCTGGGGGGCCGCAGTGTGACAGACAGACCGCTGAAAATAAATCTTAATATTTTTAATTAGACAGAGCATTAAGTCCACCTACGGATTTACAAGAAATTAGCGTTTATTTAGCTTTTATTTTGTAATATTGAGTCTCTTTTTTTGTAGAAACGTATGGGGCTAACCTGTATAGTGCTGCATGCCTGTGTAAGCTTGCTGCAGGGGATCCAGGACTGGACTCTGAGCTGTGACACACAACAAACACATTATTGCACGATTAATTAAATCCTAAAAGACATTCAGGACTCATTAACGTGCTCCAGCATGGCAGCCGGAAGCTTGAGACTCTGTGGGGGTGATTTATGGGAAACCGAAGGGCCGTACCTTGGTAGGTGTGAACTCCGTTGGTGTACAGAGTGTCTGTAGCTGACTGGCCATTAGGGGGCGCTGCCACGGAGGGGTAGCTGTTCACTGCGATGGGTGGAGGCAGAGCAGGAACAGGTGTGGCTGCGATGGAGGGAGGAGTGCTGGTACCTGCAGACAGAGTTGCAGTTGCAGCTGTGTTGTTGTGCACAAAAGGATTTTGTTTTTAGATCAGCTTAACTTGTTGTTTGGATGATGGACAAATCAAAACATTTGGTTTAATTTTATGTATGAACTGGGAAAAAAATGAGAATGAAAAAAATTCATTTTCTGCAAAAATGTAACAAGAATGTTGGGATGAACTTTGTTTAGAAGCTGAAATTATTATTTTTTTTATTGAAAACAAACAGAACGGTAGCTAAAGGCTTAAATTTAGCTAAACGCTAGAATTAGCAGAACAGTACCTACAAGTTAAAATGAGTTAAACAAAAGCTGAAAGCTTAAAAAAGCAAATGGGAGTTAAAAGCTAAAAGTTGCAAAACAATAGCTAAAATCAGTAGAATTGTAGCTTAAACTTTGTCTATTTTTATGTGCATTTTATTATAGCATTTTTATTAAGTTTATTGCTATTTTGTAGTTACAGTTTCACTTTTATTCTTTTAGGGGCTGCGAGTGAAAATATTTACAGAAATGTTATTAATATGCACTGTCGATGTAATAAATAAATTCAATTAAAAATAAGAAAAAATAAAAGCACCAAACTGTAGCTATAGAAGTAGCAGAACAGTAGATAGAAAAGAGACAAATACAAAAATCTGAAGTCGGAGCTCACTATTCTTAAATGAGTTGAACATTTTGATACAAAAATAATCTTATTATCATTTTATATAAAAAGAAGTACAAAATAAATTATAAACAGGAAAATAACTGTTTAAATGCTGCCTCTGACCCAGCATCCAGACAGTTGTTTTAAATACTGAATTTGAAGGACAATAAACAAAATAAAAAATAAATTTATTAGAGCAACAACTAATTTTAGGATCTTATTTGAGGTTAGTATTCCACTACAGCACATTTCAATCGAGCTGACTTTAAACCATTTTAAACCGAAGAGTTTGTTTATGTCATTCTGTTAAAAATTACATAAACACCATTCATTTCAGCTGTACAGTTAGAAGCCTTACTTCTAACCATGCGTGATGCCTCACTGTTAAACATCTCATTCAAATACATGTAAAAAGGTAACAAATATTTTTTTAAAAATCTCCCTCCCCCCCGTCCAAAAAAAAAACCTAAACTAAACGAATGTCCTTCTGGGTTCAGCTCTCCTTGTGCGTCTGTCCTCATATTTCAAGCAGAAATCTATTTAAGGCCAGCCAGGGCCAGACATCTCTGCCCCTCATTACCTGAGGACGGGGTGATGGATGCAATCGGCGTGGCGATGATACTGCTGGGGTTGAGCGCGGCGAGCTGCTGCATCTGCACCGCCGCCACCGTGGCGACGGGAGAGAGGTAGGCCGACTGAGCCACCAACGCCTGCTGCTGCATCAGCTGCCGGGGCAGACAGAGAGGGTGAAAACTCAAAAAAACCAAACACAAATATGGCTATAACCATTTAGCTGATTTTGGGCCTAAACTTTGCAAGTTAGTAGCTGAAAATCAACATCAGCACATACTCTGAGTGCTAACAGTTGTGCTTTAAGCCAGAGACTGTTAACCTATGGGTCGCGGCACCTTAAGGGCCTCAAAAGAACAACAGTTTTTAACCCTGGACCGGAGAGGGCCATGAGACCCCGTTGATTTTGAATAAGATGCAATACACTCTCTCACCACTAGTAGCAGTAGTGCACCACTCAGATGTTTAACAACTTTTTAATATGTAGAAGAAGAACCTTAAAAACTTATTTTAAAGAAAATTAGAAGCAAAAATGAAGGTAACTTATCAAAAAACACCAAAGTTTGTCACTAATATGAAGTGCAGCTTCTGTTTCTGTCATGCAGTATTTCAAAAGTTCAAAACATTATCAAATACAGTTGCGGACACTGCTATATTTTAATCTGCACTTTATCAAATTATTTTGTAATATTTTAAATATATTTTAATGAAACTTTAAACTTGTCAAAAAGCTGTTGTTACTGTTATTATTTGTCACTAATATGAACAGCAGCTTCTGTTTTTATCACGCAAAAGTTTAAAAAGGCTATATTTTCATTTGTACATTATAAAATTTATTTTTACAGTTATTTTTTGTATTTGAAACATTTAAACATTTTCAATTTATTTATTTTATGCCCACAATTTTATTTACTGAATTGTCTATTTTTTTTATTGTTTATGTGACCGTTTGTTCAAATAATTGTTATGGGCAGGTTACAATATAAAAAAACTGTTTTTCATGATCACGTCTTGTGAATATTTGACAGGAGTTTTACTTTTAAGTGTACTTAAAATACACTTACTTGTAAGTGTATTTAATTTAGTTATAATGTAAATACAATAAAAATTCAACCAAGCTTTAGAATAATTATCATTTTGATCCGTACATTGGTAATGTGTGACTGGGCCTCGTGCCACTTTATGTTCAATAAATTGGGCCCCGAGGTCAAAAAGGTTGAGAACCCCTGTTTTAAGCAACACCATGTTCACAGTCATCAGTTTTTACTTCTTTCTTATTTAAGCAAAACATTAAGCAATGTTTTTAATTTGACGAATGAATATGCTTCCAATTATCATTTAAATGCTCTTACAGAGAATTAGTATGCACTCAGAGGGATAACGTTACACAGGATGTTTCCCATTAGGCTGTTCACAAATCAGGAAGAGTTCAGGATCTCTGTCTGGTTGACCCTCCAGAAAATCAAATAAGACCTAATGTTGAGTCTGAGTCATCACAAGCTAAAGACGGAAGGCTAAGTTTGTTTCTTAAGCATTGTGTTTGTGTGTCCCTCACGGCCTGTGTGTAGGCGTTGTAAGCCCCGAGATGCAGGGTCATGGGACTGATGACTCCCAGCTGAGAGGCCACCTGCTGCATCCGCCGGAGCCCTCGCTCCTTCTCCGAGTCTGCAAACTTCACCACCAGGCTGGACGAGGCGCCCTGTGGAGGACACAAACACACACAACTCTCACTGCACAACAGAACAAACATTAGGGTAGATTATTATCTGTGTTACAGGAAATAAGTCAAGACAACTGCTTCATGTAAAATTCAGTGAGGTTACTAGTACTAGTAAATCTGTTCAAGCTGGTCCATAGAGGCTGACGCATTTTTCTTTAGCTTGAAAGCAAACACAAAGGGCAGAATATGTGTTCTTCATGGAACAGAGGTATGAAACGATCAATAAATAAAATGTGTGTTTCATCATATCGACATTTCAAATCTATAATCAGCTGCTTTGCTTTCTAAAGAAGCTGCATGTGCGTTGAAAAATCCATGACGATAAAAACCTCACATTCATAATGTAACGTTTGTCTGAGGAATTTATTGTTGATTTCCTGTTTTAGTCTTTACATTTTTTAAATCAAACTATTTTAGCTATTCGTGTATTAAAATCTTTTTTCATTCAGTACACACTGTAGATGCTTTTTTTGTGATTTTTATTTTTTCAAAATATTAAAATTTTTATAAATATTTTCTACATATGTTACAATATATTACAATTTATTTTATCTTCCATTTAGCGGCTTGTTACCTCTAGCTTTTAGCAACAATTTTGGTACTTGCTTTTAGCTATTTTTTGCTGCTTTTAGTAAGCCTTTTGCTAAACAAAATAATAATAATAATAATAATAATAATAATAAAGCCTTTTGCTATGTTTATCTTTCAGCTAGCCTTATGCTACTTTTATCTAGCATTTTCTATTTTAGTTTTTAGCTAGCTGTTTTCTACATTTAGCAAGGCTTTTGCTTCTTCTAGATTTCAGGTAGCATTAAGCTACAATTTATCTACTTTTAGTTTTTTAGTTAGCATTTTGAAACACTTACTTTTGTTATTTTAGCTTTAATAAGTTAGGGTCAGCTTCTTTGGCAAATATCAGCAAAGCTATCCAGGCCTCAGTATTCACTGTGCATGTTTTTGTGAAAATTCATTTTTTGTTCCGTTTTATTTCAGTCAAACTGAATTAAAACAAACTACAAACAGAAATACATATTTTTAAAAAAATGAATGTCCTTTTCTGTTTGTGTGTGTTTGTGTGGAGGAGGGGGACAAAGTGAGAAGTGACTAACGTCTGAGTCACCACGTCGAGTATGTAAATGACTGAATTTGGGGCATCTGAGTGTCTTTGATATATAAACGTGTGTGTGTGTGTGTGTGTGTGTGTGTGTGTGTTTGTGCAACAAAGCATCTGTGTACGGTGAACTTACAGGTAAAGTGCGACTCCCGTGCAGAGCGTTGATGGCAGCCTGGGCCTCTGCGTTGCTCTGGAACTTTACAAATGCACACCCTGCATGAAATGACACACCATTAAACACAGCCTCACACACACACACACACACACACATGAAGACTCACAGGATCACAACTACTTCCCTTTAAAAATACATTAGATGCTGTCTTACATCCAGTGCTCCATCGGTTACTGTGGCATCGTTAAACATGGTCCACACCCCCGGCTTCATCAATCATAACCCATAAACCACAAACGCATCATTAGCCATGACCCATAAAACCTATTGCACTGTTAGTCATGCCTCGTGCAACAAACGTGCAGGAGGGGGGGCATCCAGCATCTGTGTTTGAGCTGCCGCTGGACTTTGATTTACACAACAAATATCGTTAGCATTGTTGTTAGCGGGAGCAGTCATTTATATCACGTGGCACTAATGTGCTGCAGGGCTTCATTTTCAGGGTTTCAAGCGGTTAAACAAAGTCAATAACACCTTCATTATCACCACCTGCAGGCCGGGTATAATCACTCCCTATTAGAGCATTTAACCAAATATTTGTCATAAAGTTGGGAATTTTGTACCCTTACATTACTAAATTAATTAGTTAAAATCCCCTGCTGCTCAAATAAGAAGTTAATAAAGTGTTTGTCTAGAACTGTATTTAATTCTGTGCCTGTTATCAAATTATTTCAAGAACCACAGGATGGATTTTAGTGAAATTTTCAGGAAATTATCATCAAATATACATCAACTTTTGGAGGTCACTCCTAGTTCTACCTAGCAAACACAAAAATGGCTAGAATTAACTCAACTGTACAGACAATGGGTGAAAATTTGTTGTGGTAGTAGCTGAGAATTATCCATTAATGGTCATAAAGACATAAAATTGTGGTTTTACACTTCAGAATATATCGGAGTGTTTAATGTCACTTTATAGGTAAATGACATTGCAGTGGTAGGCACAGTTTCGCTAATCCGCTAATAGCAGAACTAGCTTCTCATTAAAAAATTCACAGGTGTACAACTTCAACTTTTATGCCAATTATCCTGAATTAAATCAAAACTATCCCCTCTTGCATGCAGTGCTTGGCGTGACAGGCACTGCGTGTGTAGCATGTAGCATCTTTAGCGGCTAAATTTCAAACTAAGAGCAGCAAAAATAAATAACATTTATCAATATTTAAAGAACGAATACAAAAAATTACTACGTATAAAATACAGTAGAGGATATATTTGTTGTTGGACTAACTTCAGACAGACAGTATTTATAAAAATTCAAACCCGATCAAAGAAATGCTTTTATCTAAAAGGGGTAAATTGGAAGTATCACAACTCTGGTTTGGATTGGCCGATTTGCCACAGATGATCCCGCCCACTTCCAAATTAAACCAACAGAAAACTAACAGGTTTGGATCAGTGTTGCCAGGTCCGCTTATTAGCGACTTTGGGCTTTTTTTCTAAAGTCGCTTGTAAATTCCGTGAGTCACGGGTTGCAGTTTTTTGGGCTTATTTTTGAACGTGAGTTGCTTATTTTGGGCTTTTCTTTCTTTCTTTGCGAATGAAATGCTTAACTCTGCTCCTGTTGAAGCAGAACACAAGGTTTAGTGGGTTTGTTCCTCCGATTCCCCCGTTTCCTGGTTGTCGCTCCCGCCCGAGTTGAGTCGGCCAACTTCAAACACCAGAGCCCAGAGTGACGGGGAAACGTCATGTAAGTATATGTTATTAAAAGAGTTTAAATTATTTAAACCATTAAAAAGTTGTTCATTTTTATGGTCATTTTTATCATAATTTTGCTGTTGCTTATGTATAATGCAATAATAAATGTATACGTTTATACAGTACTGTTACAATTGACAGTTGGGCTTATTTTGGGCCCGTTTTCATAGAGCTGGTTGCTTGTTTCTGTCGCGAGATCTGGCAACACTGGTTTGGATCAGTCCCACCAGTCTTTAACTCAAAAGAGATGAAGACACACAGTGAAAGTCTTCTTAGCGGTTAGCGTTAGCTTCCACTGATTTTAAATGTTTTTTAACTGTTTAGCTAAGATTCTTGTTTATTGGTGATTAGTGAAGCTAACTTTTAAAACTTTTACACAAGTCTGAAACGTTGGACGTGGAGTAAAGCCTTTTATACTTCTTTTTTTATATGTTTTATTTATTTTTTGTTCCCAGTTCCACAAGTTTCACTTTTGGATAAACAGTGGTGTGATTTGACCTATATTACCTTTGCTGGTACCATCAGGCCCGCGCAGCACCGTGCACTCCTCTATGCTGCCGAACGGCTCGAACATTTTCCTCACGTCCGTGTCTGTCTGCTGCTTCCCCAGCATACCCACGAACAGCTTCCTGTCTTCTGGGGGGGAATGGAAGGTCGCCAAGATGGGGGGTGGGGGATGCAGGGGTTGTGTGGACGATTACAGAAGAGGAGACAAAAACCCAGAGTTGAAATGAGGGGGTGTCATGTCACCGTGCAGCTTGTTGTACTTCAGAGAGCCAGCAGAGTGCAGCAACAGGAACAAACAGTGTCTGCTGGTGACTCAAAGGTTTGTCACCCACTGAGAAGTCGCTCCGTCTGTTTTTGGAGGATCAAAACCAACGTTTCTGAACACTGGGATGCTACAAATCATTGCATTCCTGCAGACTGGAACATTATAAAGCTTTACGACAGAGATGATGAGCTTAGACCTCGGAGACGCTGCAGATAAAAATGTGGTTTGATAAGAAAGATTGTTTTGCAACCATTATTGTTAAATTAATGTAAATTTATGTCTGCTAGTAGCTGATCCACTGTGACAAAATGAAAGCCTGCTGATCTGTAAACAGTCATGTTGACTACAGAACATTTAGCTGCTGTGTAAAATATAAACACAAACAATGATTTTTAAATGATCTGAACTTAGGAGTTACATAAAGGTTTATAACTCAGATTTTAAAAAGCTGTTTTTAAATGATAGATGTTTTGCTTTTTACAAATTAGGATAAAAAAAACAGGGGTGGATGGATTTAAAGACACCACCTCAATGATTGTGACTAAACGTTCAGCAACGGTGACCCTTTTTGGGCCTGAGCCTCATTAAGGTGAACTGAGGTGAGGTGGACAACTGTTCTGGGGTCATAAAGACCGTCGGCTGATGAGGAGCGGGACCATCAGGCCCGTTATCAGCACAGATGTCAGAAGCCAACGTTCAGATTTAACCTGCGCATCTGTTACCATATGTGTGTCTTACAGTCAGTTCTGGAGCCACTGGTAAATGTTTTTTTTTTCTCTCTGTACCCTTCAAGCCTGATGAGACTCAAGCATCAGGTCAAGTCATCATTTTTAAAAACACGGGAACATTAAACGGTCTTTTCAGAGGTTTTAAGAATGTTGGGGCATTAATGTGCTTGTGACTTCAAATTTTTGTAAAAAAAATTATGAATGCATTTTTGGAAAGACAGCGTTGATAACACATTGCAAAATAAATGTCATGCTGCTGAGATGAACAGTTGTTGAGATATTCACATGTGAAGTAACAGGAAGTGATGTCAAAGGGGAACGTTTGAATGTGCACAGAGCTTTTAACAGCCGACGACACAGACTGTAGAAAAGAATCTGATGTTTCTTTACATTATTTTGAGTCACTATCAGGGAGAAATGAAGGAGTCAGTTCAAATAACAATGACCAGAGAGTGTTTCTTTTTCTTGAGTTACCCTTTGATGTCACTTCCTGTTTCACTTTGGCTAAGCCAAGTTCCTAAGAACACATGGTAGTTATGTGACAAAATGGATAAAATCCTGTGTTTCTTAAATATAAAAACAATTTCTTTGACTTTATTTATTTGAAAGATATGTATGTCACAGGCACTTTAACATACAATAGAAAGCTAAAAGTTTTATACCCTTACATCTTTTTAATATATTGGAAGTAAAATATATTTTTAGGAGTTTTAGTGGGGTTTTTTTTGCGCTAAAACCTAAAGCAGATAGTCTGCTTCCTTATGTGTGTTTGATGTTGCTCTTGTGTTAAGTTGTCAAAGAGCTTTGTACTTAACGCGGACATGGACTTGCTTCACAAACAGATTATAGTGTTTTATTTTAAAAGACAAAGTGATGAAACACAGTTCTAAAAGCTAAAATCTTGAATGTTTTTTTGTGCTTTTTCTGAGCATCATCTGATTTCACTAAGACTTGCACTCATTTAAAATGACATATTTTTGATCATTTGCAGAAGATGATGCATTTCTGAGAGGGTACAGGTCTCTCTTACCCCCCCTGCTCTCGCTGTCCGCTGGCTTCACTTGGATTGGACGGTTCATCTGGAAGAAAAAAAATAATACAACACAAAACAGTCAGTTTGAATACGGCACAGAAAGGACACATGAATTAAACGTTAAGAAAATATCTCTGTTTTCATACTTTGTGTCAGTCATTTAGAGCTGACATTGTTGTGACATTTCTGTGTGTGTACGGAGGTTTGTGTGTTTGCATTATTTACACACAGATGTTCCTTGTTTCCTTTTTTTCCTCTCACCACTTCTCTATCTGACCACAGCTGACACAGATATGTGTCATGTTACATTAGCAGTGCCACGCAGCCCCCCTCTGCCAGCCGCTCCCCCCCGCCTCGAGCCTCTCTCTGAATCTGCTACCGTTCCCTCTCTGCCCCCGTCGCACAAAAACCAGGAAAAGCACACACCCACGCGGGATTGGAGAAGTGATAAGATTAAGAACACTCGCCAGCTAATCTGGATTAAAGGAGCAGGCAGCATCAGAATACAGAGAGAGACTCTGAGTCTGACAGAGAGGCAGAGATCTACAGAAAGAGAACAATGAGGATCCACCAAACACTGACGTGATCTAAAGAAACTGTTTTCTGTGTAAAACACACAGAGAATGCTGAACCCTGCTGAAGCTGAAACACAGCTGTTAAAGCCAGGAAGCAGAAACGCAGCTATAAGCTAAAATGAGCAAAAACTACAAACCAAAAGTATCAAAATGCTGGTTAATGACTAAATATTTCAAACACTAGCTAAAAGCTACAAAAGCAAAAGCTGGCTAATAGCTAAATGTATCAAACATCAGATGAAAGCAACAAGTAGGGCTACACAATATCAAGAACACCTGCGATGTGCGATAACAGTGTTTAATGTTGCGATGACGATATGCCTTGCGATATATCAAAAAATACTCAAGTATGCAGTGTTGATGTTTTTCTGCTCTGGGTTCAGAGCAAAAGACAACTAATACATAATTTCCATTACAACATGATGGAGTGATTATGATTTGAAGTTGTTTCTCTGGTCCATTTTGTTTACCAGACTGACAAACCACATAAATTCAAATATTGGAGCAATCATTAATTGTAATTTATGGATTTTTTGCGATATGCATATATTGCATTGGCTGTTATCGCGATGACAATAAATTTGTGATATATTGTGCAGCCTTAGCGACAAGTATCAAAATGTTAGTCAATAGCTAAATGTTACAAACTCTAGCTAAATGCTACAATAAGCAAAATGCTTGCTAATAGCTGAATTTTTCAAACACAAGCTAATTGATATAAAAGCAAAATGCTAGTTAATATGTGAATATCAAACACTAGCTCAAAGCTGCAGAAAGCATTATGCTTGACACAAGTTAAATGCTACAAAATGCTTGCTAATAGATAAATGTTTTGAACTCAAGCTAAATGCTGTAAAAAGCAAAATGCTTGCTAATAGTTAAATGTTTTGAACTCAAGCTAAATACTGTAAAAAGCTAAATGCTTGCTAATAGTTAAATGTTTTGAACTCAAGCTAAATGCTGTAAAAAGCAAAATGCTTGCTAATAGCTAAATGTTTTGAACTCAAGCTAAATGCTATAAAAAGCAAAATGCTTGCTAATAGCTAAATGTTTTGAACTCAAGCTAAATGCTATAAAAAGCAAAATGCTTGCTAATAGTAAATGTTTTAAAACTAGCTAAAAGCTGCAAACTGCTAGCTGATAGATATACCAGTAGGTTTCAAACACAAGCTAAATGCTACAAAAAGCAAAATGCTAGTTTATGGATAAATATATTGAACAGAAGCTGAAAGCTCCAAGTAGCAAGATGCTAGTTAAAGCTAAAAGTGACAAAGGCTAGCTAAAAGCCAAAAGTTTCAAAAGGATAAAAGCTAAAAGTGGCTAAACTCTTGCTTAAAAAAGCCAAAGACTAGCTGAAAGTAGCAGTATGGTAGCTAAAAGCCAAAATATCAAGACTCTAACTAAGAGCAAAAAGTAACACATCTTACAATCTGAAGTAAATTTTAAAGAGAACACTATTTGAAAATCAATTGTATTTCCATCATGAAATTATTTCCAAATAAAGGTAAATGATTGGAAATGTATAAATGTTACAAAAACCTAAAGTTAAATCAGCCATCTCCTGACTGAGCTGAACGTTTTGATATATGAACCATGGTGATATGATGTATGCAGAAAGAGGTAGATGGCAAAAAATGAAAGGAAACATAAAAAACAGGAAACAATAGAGTGAACGCTGAATGAACTTTCAGACAAATAAGTAACCTTTTTATAATTCATCATCATCAAGAACCAAGCTGCTGAAATGCCACCTTTTCTTTACCTCGACACTCTTTAGCTAAAGCCCTGCGTGAAATTGGTGAAACTCTTTTCAGCTTGTCCTTCAAACGTACGGAGCGTGAAAACGGGGGACAAGAGTAAGACAAAGAGCGAACAAGAGAGGGCAGGAAGGAGAGCAGGGTGGGATTGAGAGGGATTGAAGGAGCATATGGACAGAAAGGGGGGGGGGTGCAGGCGAAGGAGGAGGGCGAGGAGTCGAGGTGAGAGAAGCAGAGTGGCAGTCTGTTAACTGTGGCTTAATGAAGGTCTTAATTATGGAGCTGGTGACATTTCAGCCAGTCACTGATCCCGTGTCACCCATTGATCCGCTGTGATCGGTCACCGGGAGGCTCTATCGATCGGCGCCGGCGGGACCCGCATGAGCAAACACCTCTGAGCTGCCAACTGCGCTGACCCGGCCCGGGTGATGGAGCCAGCGTCACCTGCTGCAGCTCCTCATCGAGGGAGGCCAATTGATCGCAACAATTAATACGGTGATGGAGAGGCCGTCCTCCAATCAGACTGGGGGCCCGCCCCTGCATCCAGTTAACTTTTTGTTACAATTATTGTGAAAGTTTGGTCATTCATCCTGACTAGATCTAAAAGTTAAAATCCATCGGTGGGCACAGCTACCCTGAAGCACTAATAGGGGAACTAATTTCCTGATTAGTGCTTTAGGGCTTTTGCTATTTTTTTAATTCATTAGTGGATTAGCTGAGGTCTTTAAATGTCATTGATCAACATTATTGTTCACAGCTGAGGATGAAAGCTGTCATACATTTGTTCATATGCATGTCGCTTATCTACAAGGTCATGTAACAAACTCAAGGCCCGCGGGCCAAATGTGGTCTGCGGGTGACTCCCATTTGGCCCGCCAAGGGCACTAAGTGACAATATTCTGCACACAGTAAATATTGTCTCATGTTGACTGAAGAATGTTTCATGTGTCAACTGGATTATATTAGTGCTTCACAATTAGCTTTTGCTAAAACTTTTCAGTGCATTAGTGCTTTAGAGTTAGGGGACCGAAATATTTGAGTTAGTGCTTTATGGTTAGTGCAACAAATATTTAGATTAGTGCTGCCCACCACTGTTAAAAGCATAAAAAACTTCCTGTAAATATGACTTATTTACCCACTAATATGAAAGACAGGTGATAAAGTGCCAGGTGGTTTGTCTGTTAGCAAAAAATCTCATGAACCACATGATTATTTTAAGTTTAGAAATGAAAAAGTCTCACAGTTCAAATAATATTGTTTCAGTAAACAAAGACCAGGAAGTGTCCCCTTTTAAAGAGTTCCTTAGTCACTTCCTCTTTCACTTTGTCAGCCTCAAAATGGGTAAAAATCACGTGTACTATGACAAATTACCTAAATATTAGGACAGGGCTATTCAACTGGCGGCCTGCGGGACCAAAATGTGGCCCGCCAATTGGTTCATTCATCTCTTAAGCCCAAACCCCCAGTTTTCTACTTTAATTACTAGTTGTTTTAGTTAAACATAGACATGTTTAGTATATACAGAAACGTCAGAAGCTGGTAAAAAAAAATTCTATGAATATCTAAGACAGTTAAAACTACAAGCAGTTGAAGATAAAGCTATGAAAGTGAAAATGAAATTGGTTTAAAAATTTGGGAAGTCAGCGATGTCAAAATATTATTTGTGTTAACTATGAGGCATAATTAGTTCTTTTTGTTTTTGATATTGTTTAATTATCACTACTTTTTTAGAGTTCTGTATGTTGTAATCATGATTAAATGCAGCAAAACAAACTATTTCAAAGGTAACAGATATTTGTAATACTTGCTTTTTTTACATAATGACTTTAATTCTTGGACGTTCGGCCCCTAACCGCTGGTCTGCATTAACTAAATTTAGATGAACAGCCCTGCATTAGAATATTTTTTATTCCACCTTGTGAATTTGTAGGAATATTCGCTTTAACAAAAGCAACGATGGTGGCTTCCAGCAAACAAATACAACATTTAATAAATGTTTTTTTAAACTATTACAAAAGACATGCTTTCAAAATGGAACCAGATGATCTTAGATTTTGCTAAAGTTCAATCAGACCAAAGTAAAATATCATGGCAGCAGTTTTCACAGCAACTTTGATGGATGCTGTTTTTCTCCCTCTTCTTTTGTTTTTTTTTTTTACTTCTATATTTCTTTGTATCTTTTTGTTTTTTATCACTTCAGTAGAAAAAAGAACTTAATATTAGTTTCTTAATTGTTTCATCATCAGTGATTTTTCTTCTTCTGTTTTTAAAAGCCTAAAACAAACGTGGCCCACATTTCAGGCGGATCAACGGTGGCGGCCGAGGCCGTGGCGATAAGAAGAGGCGCAGCAGATGGCTCGGAAGATTGGAATTAGAATATACAAGAGAGGAAAACGGTGAGGAGTGGAGGCCACGGAGGCTGTGCCACTTCAGATCGGCACGGCAACCGCTCCCGCCGCTCTGACGAGGGGCCGCACGCACGGCCATCGTCATGACAACCCCGGGGATGAGAGAGGCTTCGCATCAGGTAAACAGGGTTACCCCGAGCAACAAGAGACGTACGAAAATGGGGGGAGGAAGAAAAAAAAACACGATGAGAAGGACAAAGGGCGAGCTGGGGTCAGGAGATGGATGGAGTTTGAGAGGCAGGAAGGAGAAACGTTAGGAAAAGAAGAAAAAGGGCAAAGGATGGAGGGAGCATCTGCCTGTTGAAC